ATATAATAACCAATCGCTATGATTTAATAACCAAACACTGAGACAGTGTAACCGCTGAGCTGCTGTCTTATAGGTAGTGTCATCGCCAAAAAATGCCTCTCTGGACACTTTGCTTAGTGCCATGTTGGCAAGTGTATTTTCACAGCTTAGACTCTATAGCAAGATGAAATGTACAGGCATTAAACACCATATGGTCATTTATATAAATATAAGAAAAGAAGGAAGCCTTTTTGTCACTCATTTAAAAATAGCAATACATTTCCATGGGCTTCTCATGCATAAGCCAAATCTGTCAGATACTGTCTTAGCTTTTGCTGCTTGAAAAATTCTGTATGGAAACCAAAACAGCGTTTGGGGCTTCACTGGTGTCCATTGTGCTTTGAGTATATGCTTTAAAAATGCTCGTCACTCCTTACCCTGCGGTTGAACATCAGTTTTCAAACACACTTAACTAGCCCAGACTGGGAAGTAGGGAGTGGTGCTGGGGAGATGAACAGCAATGTTCCGTTGCCCCCGATTTTGGGGGGTCCTGCTCTGCTTTTCACATGCAGCTCAGTGGGAAGATTGCTAAAATGAATGTTGTATTGACATTATTAGACTATATAATTATCAGAATGTCTGGCATTTGCATGGCAATTTTTATGCATGGATGCTGTATTGCTTTGCAAATTGAACAGTCAGATAACTTAGACATCAGGCCCAGGATTTTCTGAACGCTCCGGTCATTCTGCTAAGTGATTGTAATGGGGTATTACAGAAATGGCATTGGTTACAGGTTGCGTTACTGACTGCATTCACAGAGAGATCCAGGCACAGGAAGCGCTACAGAACGGGCAGCTGGGTACCGGAGAGGGAATCCCTGACTTGCAACCTGGGGTACTGGCCAGCCAAGCTATGATTGAAAAGACGCTAACTGAGGACCCCCGCTGGCAAGGTATGGAACTGCTCAAGCAAAGAGCATGAACTTTGTAGCTCCTTAGCTCTTAATTTAAAGGTAATTTGTTAATTTTCTTTTTCTAGACACCAACTTTGTTTTAGCGAACTACAAAACTGAGCAGTGCACCAAGCCCCCTCGCCTGTGCCGACAGGGCTATGCCTGCCCCCATTACCACAACAGCCGGGACCGCCGGCGCAATCCACGCAAGTTCAAGTACAGGTCAGACGCGCTGCCACACAGCGTTTTCTCTTTAAATGGAACCTTCAAATATGTGAGCTGTACTCTTGCAATATTCTTATTAAGTCTTGCATGCTGCTGAAAAACGTGTTTAGTTCATTCCTCTGCCTCCCGACCCCGTATCCCGGTCAGGGTCTCAGGACCTGTGTAGTTCCCCTGCCACTAGGGCTGGGCGTCATACAATGCCTCATTAATATTTTAGCGATACTACTACTCTGCTTAACATGTGGGCGTAAATATACATCCGTATAGCACTGAAAAGCTGGCACCTGGCCAAATGTTTCACCTGTCATCTGAAGCCCTGGTGATTATTGCACATGTGCGATATAATATCGATATGATATCGCCCAGCCCTACCTGCCACCCTTGTAATATTCACTTTCTGGCATGTCTTTGGGACCTTTTTATGCTTTCAGGTGTATTTGTATAAGATCTATTGTATGTATCAAGTACAGGATATACTGTAATACAATGAAACACTTGTGTGGCTCTGCGCAGCCTGGCACTTAAGTTATGATAAGCACCAAGTACCAACAATGAAGATACACATAAAAATGACGGAAATAGACCAAATAAATAAAAGCGCCAGCATTTGATTTATAGCAGCAATAGGATACAGTAACAGGATGATATAAACGCCAATGTGAACACTATAAGCAGATAGCAGCAGTGGGCATGTCATGACAGTGGAGTATAAATAAGGTAAAGTTGATGGCTATGGTGTAGACGGCTACAGTACAGTGTGTGCATGCTAGTTTTGTGTTTGTAGTTTTTGTATGTTTATATATTTTTAACTCTGGTAAACACTGAGTCAGTCTGAGTAGTAGTGGTGCCCCCCTTGGGTGTGATTTGGAATAACACGGTTTGGATGCTACCTCAGGTCTACGCCCTGTCCGAATGTGAAACACGGGGATGAGTGGGGGGAGCCGTCCAAGTGTGAGAGCGGGGACAGCTGCCCGTGCTGCCACTCCCGCACCGAGCAGCAGTTCCACCCCGAGGTGAGGGATGCCCCCAGGCCGGCTCCGCGGCACCGACGCCAGCAGGCGTCCTGCATGTAGCCTAGCGATCTTACTGTCTGTTCTGCGTCCGCCTGGCATGCGTCACGTGTGACGGTGTTCTAACGGTGTGTTTGTGTTTGTTTTTAGATTTACAAATCCACAAAGTGCAATGACATGAGGCAGACTGGTTATTGTCCCAGGGGGCCATTCTGTGCTTTTGCACACGTGGAAAGTAAGTTGAGGGGCAGCGTTTGGCCGTCCTGCTGAGGGCTGTAGTGTCAGCTCATTCGCATTCTAACCAGCGTCTGAAATATGTTTGGTTAAGCCTTAAAATGCTTTTATAACATCGGGTTTACTCTGTTTTTAAATAGTTTACTAGTTTCTGTTGATTTTAAGAAATAAACATTTGTAACAGTTTATTTTTTAAATTTTAAATATATAAATACCTCATTTTATGATTGTATGCCTATATATAATTATATACCTCATAAAACCGATTATTTTAGCATTGATTATATGAGATAATACCTTAGCTAATATATCTGAACATGATTAATGTAATTTTGATTTGATTGGCTGCTTACTTGTGTCTCTGCTCCTTTAGGAATTCCCTCCACTGAAGAGACGATGACATCATTACTCACGGTGATGCAGACGGGGTCCCAGGCCAAGGGTGACTCCCAGCCGTACTCCGAGGGTCCCATCAGCGAGTGGGGAACCGCAGTGAACACGGCCACCAGCAGCCAACCAGGCAACGTAAGTCAGACTGCCTCCACTGTCGTGGTCTCCTTGGTTCTCTAGATAACATAAACTAAATGGAAGGTGTTCTTTTTTTAATTTTAACATGAAAATAAAATTGGTTCATTTCGAAGTAATGTGTATAATCTGGCACCAGGTTTACAAGAGAAATTAAACTTAAAATAACTAGGACCATCTCAAAGAGTCGTAAATATGCATGGAATTGCTGATGCATTTAATGGTGACCATGATTATACCTACAGACTTATGTTTTGAAATTTGTGAACCATTTTATTGTATAATACTTAATAATCCATTTCTAAGAAGGTGGTGTGGGAGGTAATGATTGCACAAAATTTATATACCTAATATACCAGTTGAATGGAATGGGGGTGGTAAATGTATTCCCCAAGCACTGTATATGAAAAGGTACTCTTATCGAGAATTTACCCCTGGGATCAATCAAGCTCATAAATGTTTTCCATACCATGGTCCTCATGTACTCCTTAAGTTTTTAATTAACTTTCTATGACTGACATACACGCCATAAAACTAATTTTCTAGTGATTCCTCACTGAACTGAAGCTGTCTCTGTTTCTGAAGTGTACCTTTCCTCTCCAGATTTCATGCTCCAACAGTCCATCCGTAACGTCAAGCTCAGGCAGCACCAGCTCGCTCTCTCCCATCGGAGCCATCAGCAGGCCTAAATGCTTCACCAATGGCAGCTTGTGTTCAGAGTCCACCGCATCAAGCGTGTCGTCGCCAACGTCCAGCTATCCCAAAGCTCCCGGATTCGAACGCGAGGATCAGGTACGAAACGCCCTTCGTTACTGCTTACACGAGTGCAGCCAGTAAGCGCCTCACTGCTATGCTCGACCAACTAAAAAAAAAACTGTGTGTCTCACCACATATGTAAAAATCTGTGTTTTAATCCCTAATAAAGTTTTTTTTTTTTTTTTTTCCCCCTCTTTAAAATCATATGCCGTTTGGTCATATATACTGTCTGTTTTTCAGACGAAAAATTTGAAAGGTTACCCCATGGATAGCAACCTGAAGCTAATGGAGCAGGACAAAGTGAGTGAGTGCCGTGCGCTTTTGGGCTGCGGCTGCCGGCTCTGCCGTGCATTTCAGCATAACGCAAAGCAGCCGTCAGGTCCAGCCAGAAAGGCACTCGGCCCGTTTTTAATGCACCTTTAATCAGTCTGTTTACCTGCCTCATGCAGTAATTGTCTGTCAGACCAAAATGATTCTAAGACTTGGTTTCTGCGTAACTCTCTTCCACAATTGTGTGAATTAGTGAAGCATTTGTGCTTCTGGGAGGAGGTGGAGCTCCACCGCACTGGACTCCAGCGTAAAGCACCTGCTCGTGTTTTCATGAAGTAAACGTGTCCTTAACACACGGGTAACATCTCAACCAAAAATGATTTTTTTTAGGAACATAAACAGCATTTTTAAATATACTTTTGCACCAATGTTCATTTTTCAAAACGTATCGTAGTGAAAAAACGCTTTACATCTTTCTTGGGTGCCACTCTGGCACTGGATCTTATCACTGGATTATTTCAGTTTTCCAGAAAGCACTGGTACTATGTGAAAAAATGACCTTTAATGGTTATCAGCTTTTTTTTTGTTTTTCTAGCTCTCTAACACAGATTGCTCCTGTGTGAAGATGTAATTGCTCCCTATTTAAATGAACTAAATTAATAGAATAGGGTCAACTGATTAAACACAACCAGTCTTGGTTACAGTCTGCCCTACTCCATAAAAATGCCATTTCGTACTTGGGAGACAGTTTAGAGTTACATGCCTTTGGACTGTGAGAAGAAATTAGGGTATCAGGAAGAAACCCGCACAGCACAGGCTGAGCACACACACACACACACACACACACACACACACACTCGTTAGGGGTTTTCATGTGTCATTTTTGATATTGACACATACTGCCTGTGTTAGGGATAATATTATTTCATTTATACTGCCAGGTCAATATTGAGATCGTCATTATTTAACATAATTACTCATCGACATTGGAAATATCATGCATTTATTAAACTTTAAACAAAAAAAAACGTCGTCTTAACAGCATATTTCCTTGAAATCCAACAGAGAAACAAAAAGAGGTGCACTGGATTTACAACCCCAGACAAAACAGGCGATCACTGCAAAACGAAATGCGGCACAGTAATCGCTACATCTCCATTATTTTGTTTTGATAATGGAAGCCAGTGCTGTAATTGAAATTAAAATATAATTAATTGCCCAGCCCTACCCCCAGATAAGGATGCATATACAGTAAGAGCTTCAGAGGGAGTCTTTTAAATAATTGTGTAACTGTACAAAAATGATGCTATTGCATTATCCTTAATAGCTGGAAGTCTGAAAGCTCTTTATGTGATCACAGCTGTTCCGGATAGATCTTTGAGGTTGGAGTAATGGGCCGATTCGCTCTCTGCTCCCCGCACTGCAGACCCTCTCAGGTGTCTTCTCGGTGGCGAACCCCCTGGCCTCTAGCATAACATCCAGCATTACCTCCAGCCTGGCATCCAGCGTGGGCTCGGACAGCTCGTCGCCCACCACCCTATCGACCATGAACGCCAAGGCGGCCCCCTTCTACCCGGGCAGTAACACCGTGGAATCGGTCATAGGTATGTCACAGGTGCCGTTTTTATTAGTCTCTACCTGCGGCTTGTGTGGCCGATAGACTGCGGTTATCGGTCTCGCCATAAGGCAGCACAATAGACAGTGGGGAGCGAGCGAGAGTGCTGACAGGCGCGGCATGGAGATTCAGAGCCGGTCACCAGCACCACACTGGGTTAGACACGCTCTGTCCCTATCCAGGGGCGCGCTCTCTGTAGCTGTGCAGCTGCCTCGTGCTTGACGAGTGTGGTGACACAGCAGTATTTCAGATGTAGAGGCTGTAAATCTGGGTGCCCATGTCTCTGAAGGCCTTTTGGGTGCTCTGTGAGGGCCGTGCGTTTTAATGATGTATGTGCCTGTATATTTAAGCCTTATTTAGCATTTCGGCAGAACTGTCATCCACGAATCCTTACAGTATATTTATAAACAAAATTTTGAGTGATATGATCTTAAGAAAATGTTGGGAATCAGTGGTCTGTAAATGTGTGTTTGCTGCTGTATTTTGTTTTTGTATTAATTGTCAGATATATTCCCACAATCTCATTTTATACAGATATTCTCATTTGGGTTTGACTGAAATGCAGTTTCCTTGTGTATCCTTATGCTACATCGCATGTGTGCTGAAGGATTTGTTCTTCCATTCATGTGTGTGACTTTCTTAGGTTCTGCCCTTGACCTCAATTTTAGTGACATTAATGTTGCATCACTTGATAAGGAATTAGAGGAACAAGAAAACAATGGCCTAGGATTGACAAGTAAGAGAATGCCTTTCGTGTTCGGGGGGGTCGTACTGTCATCCATTCTTTTAGGTTGAAATGTAGCAATACGCCATTCTCAGTTTCAAAAGTGCATTAGACTTATTTGATTGGAATGAAAAGTATACAGTGAGCAACTTAAATATGTATTTAATAATTTTGCTGAACCTTGATAGTATTGCTTTATTGGCATAATATCTATTTTTGAAAGATGAATTGATTTTGTGATGGGGTAGGGGTCAGCTTTCTATTCGAAGTTAAACGTAAACGCATGTACCATATATTTACATTTCACTCATACATTGTAATGGTGATATACCAGTTGTCTGTAGTCTTTGCTAATGATGGTAAATATATTTAGACATTTATGGATAATTTCACTTGCAGCCTTCTATGCACTTGCCTTTAAAATGAATCCTTTTTCCTTCCAGATCAGAGGTTGCTCGGCGGCTCAGCACCTGTCAACATCCCCGGCTCTCTGGCTCGCTCTTCCTCCTTGCACTCTTCCTCCTCGCTCTCCGCCTCCCCGCTCAGCTCACTCTCCCAGTCCCTCTCCCAGTCACTTCTGCCAGGAGTGGCCTCCCAGCAAGGCCAGACACAGGCTCTGTCCAGCGCGGTGGAGCACAGTCTCTTGGGGACCTCCACCTCTTCCCAAAATTCCCTCGGTGAGATCCCAGCTTCATGTGCCTTTCGGTTAACAGAAAACATTTATGCTAGTGCCTTTCGGCTAACAGAAAACGCTTATGCTAGTGCCTTTCGGCTAACACAAAACGCTTATGCTAGTGCCTTTCTGGTAACGCAAAACGCTTATGCTAGTGCCTTTCTGGTAACGCAAAACGCTTATGCTAGTGCCTTTCTGGTAACGCAAAACGCTTATGCTAGTGCCTTTCGGCTAACGCAAAACGCTTATGCTAGTGCCTTTTGGCTAATGCTAATGAAGGTGGGGAAGAGGAAATGAACTCGCTGTGTTGTGTGTCACTAGGTCTGAATGGCGGACATGGAAGCATATGGGATTTCGTAAGTGGCAGCTTCTCCCCCAGCCCATCGCCAGTGTTCAGCAGCATCGCTCCCGCCGCGGTGAACGCAGGCAGTGCCGACCTGCCTCGCCTCTTTAGAGAGCTGGACGAGGCGAAAAGGAAGATTAAGCATTGGGAGGAGGCCTGGCAGCAGATCCGACAGGTCAGTGCTCTGGTCCTGGACTTGCGTTTCTGTGGCTTCATGTTTGGTCTGTAATGGGGAGCTTTTGGTCAGGCGCCGATTGATCACGTGGACCTTGAGATGCCGTAAACGGGGGGGTCGTGCATGTTTTATCAGAGTAAGTCATTGAAGGCGCCCGTGTGTCTCAGGCCTGTGACGCCTGGCAGAAAGACGCCCAAGAAGCCAAGGAGCAAGCGAAGTCGGCCGAGGCCGAGCGGCAGCTGGCCGTCAAGAAGCAGGAGGACGCCGAGCGCAGGCTCAAGGAGCTACAGGAAGACTTTGATGCACTGTGCCGCTCTCCAAACGTGCCGCTGCTCCGTGGCTACGGCGAGCTGGACCGCCTCCCACTAGCTAAGCTGCAGTCCCTGCAGAGCCGACTGCGGTCGGACCTAGACGTTGTAGATGGGGTAAGAGTGACACGATTCCAGCGTGATTTTTTTTCGTCCTTTAATATACCGATACTGAATGGTAAAGATAATAGCGTCCGTAATGTTTTTGCTTAAATGCACAGAGGTTACAACGTCAATGCAAAGTAATCTGTTAATGCAGTCAAGTCATAATGTGGATCCTGCATTGAAAACTGTCATATTCTTTTTGTTTAACATGACCGCTACTAACTTCTCTTTTCTCAACACAGGTAATATATCAGCTTCAGTCAAAGAAATGTATAGTTTGCCAAAGGCATGACCGCTGCATAGTGCTGCAGCCTTGTCAACATTATGTACTGTGTGAGAACTGTGCACCTAGCAAAACAGAATGTCCATATTGTAAGGCGAAAATACTGAAGTGGTGATGTAGAACTATTCAAGGTACTGTCTCTGTATATAATCGTTTGAAGAGCTACTAATGCGCATATATATATATATATATATATATATATATATATATATATATATATATATATATATATATATATAATCAGTTAAAAACAGCATTTCTGTCCTTTCAGTATTCATAATACGATTCAGTTGATAGTTCTATTAGAAAATTGTGTTGTTTGACTTATACTTGGGGTGTAACTAGGAATATTTTTCTTGATTGATCACTTGGCTGTTTTAAAAGGAATCCACTTTTTGGTCCAGTGTCGATTTGAAATGGTTCCTCTAGCCACGGTGACTGTTCATTCAGACCAAGACTAAAAGTATCAGTCAAACAGCAACTAATATTAGTTTTGTGAAGAGGATTCATCTTTTGTAAAAGCACTTTGTTGACTTGGGAATTTTACTTTAGAATATTTTGCTTTAAGCTGCTTCTGTAGTTTTTTTTTATATATATATTTCTGTTTTTTGATTTATGTTTTTCTAAATATGGTAATGTATGAAGCTTATGTTTGTGTACTGTGAAACCATAGAATATTTCTTTTTTCTTAACCTTAAATCATGGGGTATAGTTAGTAGATTGCTAGTTTAATATATAAAATATACTAAATAATAGCTATTAATAGTATTGTTGAATTACTTAGGATTTTTACATTTTTCCAATCAAGAAGTGCAAACTTTTTAATGCGTTTATGCATAGCCAGCAGTTACGATATCAATAAGGCACATAACACATGCTGAAGCATTTAGCAAGTCAATTGCCATGTTTTTGTGGTTGATTAATTGTTAGTTAGTTCTCTGAGCAGCCAGTACCGCAGTGCTGAGCTACGCTGTGACTGTGTCACTTTGGGGAGGCCCAGTGCTTCGATATCAGCCACACGTTCCCAAGTGCCTTGCCTCAGGAAATAGGAAAATATTACGCATCTGAAAGAAATTTAAGATTGTAGTAAAAATGGTTGCACATAGTCTAAAGCTTGTGCAACTCTGCAGAATATTTGTAGTCATACTTTCTTTGCAAATTATATTTATTTAATAGTTTATACCAGCTCAGTTCATCATTTGAGTATTCTGACAGATGTCGGCTGTGCGACGGTGACATTAACGCCTGTGCCTTGACGACAGACGTCAGACGTAAACTGTCCCCATTGCATATCTCCATGGGTAATGGTGCTTTTTAATGGTGAGTTTCTTTGGTGCAGCTTCAGTATCCTTGCATTTTAATTTTCCAACTTTGTAGGAGGCAGATCAGGAAACAAATTAATGTACATGTTTAAAAACACTTTTGTGTTATTTTAATGTTAAGAGAAACAACGTAAGTCTGTAATGCCTTTTGGATGAAATTGATAGCATCCAATCTGTAAATTGTGTTGTCAGATATGACAAAGTGTAACGTGTTTAGGTTAAAATAATCGAAATGACCTACTACTGTGTTAATGTATTTGTGTTCATGTTTTTCTTTTGGTTAACTTTTGAATCTTGGTCCTTTAATATTTACAGCAATGACTGATTTCAGTAAATTTATATATATATATATATATATATATATATATATATATAGTTTGAATAATTGAGTTACACATGTTTGAGGTAGAGCAAAATTTAGTCAGAGATTACAAGATTACGTCACACGTGGTATTGATAATTGAGGGAAGACTGAATTTTATTAATCTCTTAATTTTTCCATAAACCATACCGACAGAAAAGAGCCCAAGTACGGCGTAATCGGCTGGCATAATGGAAAATACATGATTGGCTGATTTTCTAAGCTCCGCCCTTCTCCACGATTTATTTGGATACTTTTTAAAATCCACAATGTTTTTATTCAGATTCTCATATAGGTTTAAACTCATGGATACGCAGAAAAAAAGCACACGGCTCTCGTTGTAGGCACCTCAGTAGTAGTTTACTTTTGTACTGCCAGTCACATTGTCATACTAACAGTGGTGTAAGTACACCATAAAATCGTACCCTTCATATCGCATATATAGACTGATCTAACAGTAGATTTAATTTAAACCCAGCTTTAAAATTATTAAAGGAAAGCAAACTTTCCAGGGAGAAAGGCAAGAACATAAATCAGTGTTGACATCAAAGTTGCATTTTAATATCTAGTAACAATGAAAATATACACAGTTTCTTTAATCTGAAATAACTTGTGGCCAGCCAATATTATCAGGTGTGTAATCTTTTCATTTGGTATCCTTATCATTCTGGTTATTTCATTATTATATAACGTAATAGTAACATTTTTCCAGATCACTTTAATAAAAACCTAATGAATAATGTGGATTGAAATGAACCAAAGTATTGTAACTTAAATTTCCTCTTAGTAATCCTTTAAAAGTATATATAAAATATTTAAAATTTGCTTTCAGTATGACACATTATGTCGTGTTTGATTTGGATGAAGGAGAAAAGCCTAGACCAACTGCTTTTGCTGACAATATTAATGGACTTGTGAGCCCATTTTGTAGGCGTGCCAAAGACCTTTCCGTTTTATGACATTAGTGGTACATAATTACACTTTTTAACATTCTGAGAACTGGTTGGAAAACTTACTATAAGAACAATGACCAAATTCAGCACCTTGTTTAATAATGTGCATTTGTAAATGCCATAACAGTTGCAACCTTTTTTCTTGTTAAACATAAGATTGTTGTTTGTGCATTAGCGCTGAATGCACAGACTTAAAGCATTATGTTTGGCCTGATAACCGGAGATGGAGAGAATGTCAATATGAATTTGTTTTATTAAGTGGCCATGTGGACTAGTATTTAATATCCATTTGTATTTCTTTCTTAATTGCTGAACTCATTTAATGGCTTAGTTCTAAATATTACTCTTTCTTCACTACTATTATGCAGTCAGGAATTTGAAGCGTAAAATTGGTTTGTAAGGTGCTTTAGTTCACTTGACTGGTATCTGTTAGGTATGTGTTCTTAAACACTGTATAAAATTTAGGTTAATTTGTTGTTGAATTGTCTGGAAAATGTTGCATGCATTAATGATGTAGTGTTTCCCTTGTGAGAGGTCAGCGATAGATTGCATCCTGTAATGCATATCCATGCACTTTACATGGATGCGCGTTGACAAACTCTGATGTCACTGCAAATTCTGTTTATTTTTGTCTAAACCACCTGCTGGAAAATGCAGTTACACATAATGGTTTTTTCATTTCTTTAAGAAATACTACTTAACCCCACACATTAGAGGTCAACCGATATGGGTTTTTCAATAGCCGATGGCCAATATACGCTGCCGTTTTTCTTTGGCCGATAATTGGACATTTTCCCCTCTATTTGCATGGTAAAATATCACACTAATAATAACAAACGATACACAAAATTTCTCAACTTAGCATTTACTGAATACTGACTTGAATAAATTTAAATATAAACTTAAATAACAAAAACACAATACAACTTGTACACAATAACTTAAACTTGACTTGGTGAAATGCTGCCATACAGGATTAGATTTTTGTTCAGCCATCAGACAGCAATTATTAAAACAGAAGAAAAAATGCAAGGTTGGGATCTTTATTATAGTGCCTTCATCTTCAATTTATTCTACAATTACAGTATTCCATGCACATTAAAACAATTACACTCTAATACATTTTGAAAAGGAAAAAAAAACACTAGTAACTAAGTGCATCATGGTATGATGAGTAGTGCACAAGGCCCAAAACCTTTCACTGACATGTTGTTTATGTTGTTAGCAGACAGGTAGCTTACAAGCCAAATTCACAATCAGAATCTAGCGATCACAGAAAATAAAATAACTTTGTTGTATTACACAGCCTTGTATGCAAGGACAACGTAAGCCCCTAGTAATTTTGACGTTGTCGACGTATAAGCCCGTATAAAGCATAGACATGTTTAATGAGGAAGCTAACTGCCCAAAGTCGTGCACTTTTGATCTAGACGTCTGAGAAATTGTTCGAATCTCCGCTCTCAAATGCAAACAAGTTGCACAGAAGGACCATTGTCAGCATCAGCTCAGGTGAATGGTAACCACGCTTGCGAACAGTTTTCTCCGCCATGCATTGTTCTTAGCAGCTCTATGTCGCCGAGGACAGTGCTGTCTGTGATCGGGGCAGAGTAACACAACTCACACACACTGCAGTGTTTGAGAGAGTTGCCTGCTCCACCCCACACACAGAGTGAAACTCTCCGACACAAGAAAAAAAAAACAGGACTGATGATATCGGGCTTAAAATGTTTACAATTAAAATGATTTTTAATGATTAAAAAACCTCTGTGAGACCACCAACAAGCACACAAAACTCTGTCAGAATCAATGATCCTTAATGTTGCCTGTAAGCTACAGTTGGTTGAAGGCTCATTATCATTACGCCAGTTCCCGACAGCGTAATTCGCATTCTCTTTCAAGAGCACTCACGTTTTCCTTTAATGCAAACTAGTTACATAAATAGGTCTTTGAAAGATCAGAATTTAAGCATTACCGTTTTCTCCCAGTACTCTTCCAAAACTTCTGGCTGAGGTCCTGCACAAGGCAGCATGGGTCACATTTTTCCCAGCAACAATCACTCGGCTGCCCACAGACTGTCTGTAAATCGGCATACTACACTCGGATATCGGCCGATGCTGATACATTAAAAAATGCCAAATATCGGCCCGATATATCGGTCAACCTCTACCACACATTATGGCCACACTGCCACTTTTATCTGCTTGAAAAACACACCTTGTACCCCTTTTGCTGTGTGAAACCATAGAGCCTCATGGCTCAAGGAAACAAATCCGTGGTCATTAAAATGAATCGATTTTTAGGGATGCACACAATATTCGAATCATCGTCGCTTCATTTGAAAAGTGACAGCTTTGCAGCCCATGTACACTGGTGGTACTTTCTCTTGCTTCGAATTGACTAACATTAAGTACTGTGATTGTTTGTTGGATACGTTCATATGTAATTCATCTCTCCCAGAAACGGCTTTCAGTAAGACAGACCAGGCTCCTGATGCTGAGGGTGAGCTTCTGTAGGGACCCTAGGGCGTCCTTCTATGTTACATGAATCATGAGAGAGATGTTTCATACTGTACTTTACATTCAGATGTTTTGTAATAGTATTATGATTGTTGAATCAGATTTGTATGCAGTCTTATACATGAAAAAAATATGAAGCTGGTTGAATTTTGTAGAATTTCCCCAAAATTTGCAGTATTACCAAACACTTTTATAAAAGCAAGAACATAGATCTGTTCCCAACAAAACTTATCCTAAGGCATTCTTACGTAAACCCTGATATTGAATGTATCGTTCCAAAATTTGCATAGGCTGTTGGGTTTAGTTAGGAAGCAGTTCTGCTGTTAACATGTAGCACTTAATATTGTGAATGGGTATATTATATGAATAAATTTGACAAAAATGCAGTTTTCAGGTTTGTATCTATTAGTCTAATGCTAAATTGAGAGGAACAAAAAGGATTTTCTCAGGGTTTTACGGTAATAACTGTAGAAAAAAAGTGAGCTGTTCCATTCATACAGACTTCAAGCTGCATTTCATAGATTTATTGGCTTAGAATTCAAATAAACATTCTTTATAATACATGTCCCATATTTTGGTAAATAAGTATTGCTATATGGAATAACTCTTATTCTGTTGAGTGTTTAAATATTCCTATAAATATTATTGTGAGTATATTAATTTGTAACGTGTTGTTAACAGTAAGACCTTAAATACATATGGAAAAATACCTGTGTTTAATTTATGGAAGCATTCACATGGAATAGCAGAGTGACTAGAACAGGCTGATGATTCAGGCTTTTTATTGCTCTTTTGAAAATAGGTATTTATAATGCATAATCATGTACTTGTAGTGTAATGTTTAAAATTGTTAACTCGTTCAAATTTTTACACTATAGCATTTATGCAATGGTTTACAGAATTCTTGGAATTATTTTTATTATCATTATGGGAATTAAAATAATTTTTGATCATGTGTGTGTGTGCGCGTTGATTGTGCTCCATTCCCCTTTTTTTGCCATCCATGCACACTGTTTGCTTTGCATCATTCCCACACAAGGGCCAAGGTATCTGGGCTCGTTTTAGCCCTAAAACAACTGGTAAACGTTGTACGACAGTTTGATTGTTTGCGGGGAGAGAAGCTGTATGGAAAATTGTGGAATCCCTCAAAGTGAGTGGAGGGGGGGGAGAAGTGTAATAAACATATTGCCCAGCATGTCATGCTGTCTCTTTCTGTTACAGCAGGTGTTGCATAAATGCTTATTCACTTTTGTCCTACTGAATCTCACTTCAGTCATCAGTGTTGAGAAGGTGTGTTGATGGCGATCTACATTATGGTCCTGGGTTATGGTTTAGTGAAGGAGTTTACAGATACTGCCTTTCACCTTAAAATTACAATGTAATATGCAGGCACTGCCCACATTACAGCAGGCCTCTCGATGAAGGGCAGCTCCTGCAGGCGGCCTGCTTAGCGCTTCGGGGTCACTGGCTCTGGCACTTTGCCAGTGTTAGTTTGGCCTAATAGCACCCTGTTTTTTGTATTTTGTTCCCCTGTCCCCTATACGCATTGCTCAAATAATTCATAGTCACTGTTAGTGGGAAGAGCAAAAGCATGTGTGATATTTTCACTACAGCCCTTCCAGAGACACGGGGGCTGTCGGCCATCCTGTAAGCAGGCCGGTGTTTTATGGCTTCCATTCAAATCCAGCTGGAAGAATCCGCAAAGCATCATCCATAGATGGAAATCAAAATGAAAATGTTGGTTTGTGCAGAGGTTCATCAAGCAGCAAGAATGTTTCCAGACAAACACCAGCCTGGATGAGCTTTAAGGCGTTCGCCATGTTGCCATACAAATTTCTACTCCTCCTTCCTTATTGAAACCCAGACTCTGTGGCTGACTGATGTGGCAAATTCGAGATGTGTGTTCCCCTGCTCAACCAGCTACAGCGTAGAAGTAATTTGTTTAAATATACTGTGAAATAGAGCAGCTGACCATTATGAATGTGCCTCGCCACCCGGGTGGGGTGGGGGGGGGAGGGGGGGTCAGAGATTCCACCCAGTCTTTATACTAATCTGTAGTAAACTCAAGAACTGTTTTGCTCAACTTACACATTGCAGTGTTTCTGATTTACTAAGGAATGTTTCCTGAAACCTTCCATCATTCCCTCGAAACTAAACACAAAACCCAATTTTCAAATCAAATCTTTTGTATCTTTGCTGTTTTCAGATCACACACAAAGCTGCTCAATACATCAGCACTCCTGAGCAGTCATTACACACAACAGCAAGACTATAAAATGCTACCAGTCAGAAATCTTCCTGGCATGTAAAACATTTTACTGTTAACTGCAGAAGAATAGTTAAAAAAAAAAAAAAAGTTTGTAAATAGCTATATGTAAAGCAATACATGTCATTCAGTATTCAGCCTTCCAAAAAAAAGTTACTGTAAAGGACAAAGTAAAAAATCCAAATGAAACTTACATTATAGTAAAAGTTATACAATTGCCAAAGTCAATGAAAATTTAACCAAGTTGGCTGCATTTTTTACAAGGCACTTACTCTCCTGGCCACTAGATGGCAGCCTATGCTTAAAAGCAGCCGCAATTAATTTATTTCATAGGCAGATGGCTTGAGATGTTTGGACAGGTGATCTACTGGATACCAAAGCAATGCAAAATGTTACTGTCTGTTTGTTTTGTTATGTTTTGTTTGTAAAAGAAATGACCTCCATTCTGAATTGGAATTGAACTGAAAGCTGTTTATGACCCGCAGCCATTTTGCCAGTTGTGACACATAAAACTAAGCAGGAGGCAGAGAGCATCATATGCAACAGAAAATGGAAATAAAAATCAGCAGAATGTATCCAAATTTGAGCACCTAGGAAGAGGCTGATGTTACAGGCTGCCGAACTAGGCATTTGTTCTGTTCTGTTTGCCTTTTATACTGTCCTTTGCAGTTCCTTAACTTGCATCTTTAATCACTTCCTGCTCTGGCTGTTTTCCTACAAACCATGGAAATCTAGGTAATTACAATTCAGTGATGAATGTACTTTATGTTCTAATACTTGCCCACCAAAAGACGTTTGCAGTGCTGATTCCCAGGAAGGACCTCGATGGGAACTCAGGAGTGAAACGGCAGCTTCGTCATGGTCGTTCTCTGGAGACAGAGTGCTGAACCTGGACCTCTACTGCACCATGCTTGGGGAAGGATGAATGACCGCGAATTCTTGGTGTCCCTTTTCAAAAAGATAGCTCACTGCGATCTGCACACTTCTAGACTTTGAAAAGTCTGCCTTCAAAATGAATGACAGACCCTTTACCACACAACTGAGATTTGGATGTAATAAAACAAAAGTTTTTGTTATTGGGGAAGTAATCTGGGAGCGATCAGAAAGCAGCAGAAGCACAAGCCTCTACACAGACGAGAGTAAAGCCTGGCTGCACATAAGATACTGACAAATGATAAAGCGATAAACTGGCTCCGCCTTTCCTGTGTTGGCTGGACTTATCTGAAAGGGTCTATTTCTGGTGCTTATTCTCTGCCTCATACCCAGTAGGTTAACCGTCATGTGCAAAACAGCAGCCCCTGTGATATTCTGGATGCACCTGGTCCTGCAAAATGGTGCTTTATTCATTAGCCAGCAAATCTGAGCTTCACCATGTTGACGGGAGCCATTTTAATGTTTATTTTTGTGTCCCATGAAAGCTGCAATAGAGGATCTGTTCCTTTTTAGGGGGGGGGGGTATGTTTTATGCTGGTATGGTGATAGAGGTTGTACTCGTTATTGACACTTTTTTGTTATTATTTTTATGACACAGGCCTATAAAAATAGCTCCAGAGGCCGGATATGCCCCAGGGGCGGCCTTCTGCCCCAAGCTACACTACATACATCTTTGTAGTTGCATTTCTCTTTGTGACTTACTGCAAAGTTAAAGTCCTTTTCAATAATGGCACCTCTGTGATTTCTTCCATTTCCTGTAAACGTGGGTAAGCTTTTTTCCCCAAAACACCTTCAGTTCACTTCCAAAAATCACAAAAGAAAGAAAAATAAGGTACCAGGAAAATATTTCCTGGTGAAAGCTCCCAAAAACGAAAAGTAAAGCAGATGATAATTTAGCTGTCTGGTATGTGTGTTTTTATCAGTTTTGTGACTCCTGTTATTGTAGTGCTGATCTGAAGGATAGCTTTTTCATACTGAATGGACACATTAGCACTTTGCAAGATATTAAGCAGATGACTGTTTTTGTTTTTTCCAAAGTATGCGGCCCTTTCTGATTGCTGTAGAAACTCCAGAACTGAACAGAAATGCAGAAGTTCTTGGTTAGTTAGATGGAGGCCTAAGCTCAAAGGCCAGATTCCTTCATACCAGCTTATCTCTGATATGTTCTTTGCTGTCAGCAACACACAGTTAAGGTGCTTGTCATTGTTGGTCTGTTACGATTCTTAGAATTCCTACCATAATTCCGTGCTTCCTCTGCAGATCCTGGGAACTGGACTCAGTAAAAGCTTAAAAGTTTCCACCTTGTTTGTAAGTGGTGACCCTAAGAATATAACCTCCCAACAGTCTAGCGCAGCGGTCACTAACAGGCGCACCTTGGTCTCGGTCCGGACCCAGAAGCTGTCCCATACGGATCCGGACCTGCAGCCAAAAAAGAAAGTTATGATTTAAAACCTGACGAGGCGCTTTTATTTTACCGGCGCAGCTTTTGTAGTCTTTTCGGTAGTGGTTTAGCAGTAGAACCGCCGTTTCCCACGCCAATGAACGTCACACACCTTTAACCGCCAAGCTAGACGTAGTTCGGCGTGTGCAGCCCATTGTCTGCGCTAATGTGCCATTGGTGTTAATAGCAGCAGCAAAGCTAACACCCGCAACCAAAAAGCCGTAATGTTCCTAAGAGAGTGGCTGCTCGGTCCTGAAATCGTAAAGCTGAAAAGTTTTCAAACCCGGTGTGTATTATATAACATGTTGGATATATAAATGTCGTTTATTGGCGATGTTCGTTCAAGTTTCCGCTTTTTAACAACTGTATAAAGTGATGTGATTTGTTATATTAATCAAATCAGGTCCATCCATCCATCCATCATCTGCCGCTTGTCCGGGGTTCGGGTCGCGGGGGCAGCAGCTTCAGCAGAGGCACCCAGACCTCCCTCTCCCCAGCTACCTCCACCAGCTCCTCGGGGGGACACCGAGGCGTTCCCAGGCCAGCCGAGAGATATAATCCCTCCAGCGAGTCCTGGGCCTGCCCCGGGGCCTCCTCCCTGTAGGACATGCACGGAAAACCTCTCCGGGTAGCCGCCCAGGAGGCATCCGCACCAGATGTCCAAACCACCTCAACTGGCTCCTTTCGACGTGAAGAAGCAGCGGTTCTACTCTGAGGCCCTCCCGGATATCCGAACTTCTCACCCTATCCCTAAGGGAGAGCCCAGACACCCTGCGGAGAAACCTCATTTCGGCCGCTTGTATTCGCGATCTCGTTCTTTCGATCATTACCCATAGCTCATGACCATAGGTGAGGGTAGGGACAAAGATGGACCAATAGATCGAGAGCTTGGCTTTTTGGCTCAGTTCTTTCTTAGCCACGACGGACCGGTTAAGCGCCTGCAGAACTGTAGACGCCGCTCCGATTCGTCTATCCAGCTCCCGATCTCGCCTACCCTCACTCGTGAACAAGACCCCGAGATACTTAAACTCCTCCACTTGAGGCAGTACATCTTCCCCAACCCGAAGAGGGCAAACCACCCTTTTCCGGCTGAGAACCATGGTCTCGGTGCTAATCCTCATCCCTGCCGCTTCGCACTCGGCTGCGAACCGCCCCAGTGCATGCTGGAGATCCCCAGCAGATGAAGCCAACAGGACGACATCGTCTGCAAAAAGCAGCGAGGCAATCCTGAGGTCACCAAACTGGACACCCTCGACACCCTGGCTGCGCCTAGAAATCCTGTCCATAAATATTATAAACAGGACCGATGACAAAGGGCAGCCCTGGCGGAGCCCAACACACACCGGGAACACGTCCGACTTATAATGCCGGCAATGCGGACCAAGCATCTGCTCTGTTCGTACTGGGACCGGATTGCATCAAATCAGGTTAAACTAAAAAATGTACGTTTTCATGGTTGCCAAATCTCAAACATCTGGCATGACACGCTTTCAGACTCACGCAGGAAATCTTACGGCAAATCTATATTATACCATTATAAACGTAAAATTGGCTACGCCCAAAGTGTATTTACACGGTTAAATACAAAAGCAGACTATTTACACGGTAAGAACTGTTAGATATGTGTGCAGACATGTTGAATTGAAAATCTCACTTAAGCCAACTGGCCGAAGTTCTATGTCACGTTTTTGAATTGTGCTGAATTAATTTGATTTGACAGTCAGGTACTGATTACATGCAATGTTGATACAACTAATGTGTTATTTAAATATATATGACACGAAATAGACATTATGAGCCTCCAGACCTTTGCTTCAAGAAATTTTCTGTAACTGGACCTCTTTAAATTTTAGTTGAATACCCCTGGTCTGGAGGCACCAAGCAGAACAACCCCCATTAAGCCTCCCCCCCCCCCATTCCGTCCCATTCATAAATGTCTTTTAACAAGTTAATGTGATTAAATGTCTAATATATTTAATATGACTGGATATCATTCTTTCTAGTATGGTAGTCATGCTGAGTAGCCCATGTCGAGTTTTGCCTATATCACCTATATTTCTGAATTTCATGCCACTAATCGGCTCCATGTCCTTCTGCTGTGACGTCAAATGTGCCATCGCCCAAAGGTGTGTAGCACTTGATCTGACCCTGCTTATCAAAGCATCTTCTAGTGGTTTAGCTTTCCTCAGAGAGCCTAACTTTCAGGGCATGGAAAGGATCTTAATGCTACACAGTGCTCACAAAAAATGGGACGCTTCATTCTGTAACAATGTTGCGAATTTAATTGTTTCATAACACAGGCATTTTCTTTTTATTGAGTGTCATAATGACTGACTCATTCAGATCTGTTCTTGCCATTTTGCTAATAATTGCAGTTGTAGTCACAGGCTCCCAATGGGATACTAAACACAAATGTTTGCTGTTTTATGTTATTGCAAAGGTTTTGTATATAAAAATCCCCAAATGAGACTGCTGTTTCACGCCGCAATCGGTGAAAATGACGTTGTTTTTGTGTATTAATTACGAGCCTCTTTCCCGTTTTCTGTGCCGCTGAGCTGTAAGACTGCTTTCCCGGCAGCGATACCACAGCCTGACCTGCTCCAAACTTCCGGCTGTCCGGCACGGGTTTGAAACCTTTGCGCTGGTTACCTTTCCACTTTGAATACATTTGCATTGGCCAATAGTTTCGTCAGACTGCATGCTGTGGACCCCCGCTGGTTTGTTTTGTTTTTGTTTGTTTGTCCAGCAGAAGTTCTTATCATCTCTGACTTCTGTTACGTAATAATATATAATCAACATTAATAGCATATGACTGTCATGTAAAATTTTTGCTGTTTTTTGGTGGTCAGAGTGGGCCGATTATCCGGTGAAGAACTGGGGGTGCCAAACTGGCCGCACCCTGACTATCAGACCAAAAACAAGGAGCCCCACCCACGAAGATCGGCATCACTGTATCCGTACTATGTGTTACCTCATTGCTGGTAGTTTTTTGACACCTGTATGAGGTGAGTGTGATGTTCGATTGATTTGCTTTTTTTTTGTTACTTAAGTTGAGAATTTCTGATCCAAACCAAGGTGGTGTGGTGCTGTGGGTCCGGTTCAGTGGGCATGTGAGCTTCAGCGAGGCGAACAGCTTCCCGTCTGCCTGATAAACATAGGAGCTGCTAATAAGTGGAAGGGCTTTAATATCCTCAAACCTCTGAAAGTCCAAATGTTCAAAGTACAGAATAAGGTGCTACAGTCAAATGACATCTGAATGTATTTCTGTTTTGCTGTAAGATAAAATATAAGCTAAAATGTTTTTGTGAATTGTGTGTTAGATACCCTTCTATCTTCGAACCGCTGCTCAGGGTTGCTGGAGGCCCGGAGCCCCCCCCCCCCAGGCAGTACAGACAGACATATTTTTTTCTGTAATCCCTAAATTGCGATTTGATATTGTTTCCTACGTCTTTGAAAAAGCCAGAGTCTTATTTAAGTTCCCAGTGGAACATGCATAACCTCATTTCCAAGTTCCTTTCAATGAAACAGGAAAAAAAATAAACAAAAGCATGTAAATGTTTCAGTCTCCGGTAGCACTGGCAGAAAAGGTCAATAAAAAAAAACGCACACACACAAAATAATACCTTTGATGAATTTGGATATTTTATGTCAATGTCACATAGACAGAAGGCGACTTCTATAGACAGAATAACTCTGATGCATGACACTACAATATTGTCCTTAATAATGGTGTAATAATAATGGTGTACTAAGCAATAAACAAATGTAACTGTAAATATACAGAAAAGTGTGAAACAGTGATTATAGGTTTGTGGTCTCAGTGCATAGATTCAGAGGTCAGCCCAAGTCTGGATAATAATCATTAGCAGGTAAAAACAAACAATGTTTTAAAACAGAAACCCATACCCAAATTTGGAAGGAATTCCATGTGCCCAATAATTTGTGTTGGAACAGTATTCATATAAATTAGAGAATTTTGTAACAGTGTAATTTTGGATTATTGAATGAAGTGGAAATGGGCTTGCTTTGTGAATGTAGTTGAAAGTCCTCATTTAGTTGGAACTGGATTTTGTAAAGAAAGCAGGTCAGTGATCTTCACCTGTGTCTGATTGTCTTGGCAGCAGAAATGGATAAAATGCAAACAGCTGAGGTCAGAGAGAGTGAACAAAAGTGCAGTCCAGCGGACTGGAATTCAGAAAAACACTAGGCAGGAATGGTTTTTAAAAACTCTTAGAAGAGAGTCAAAATGAACAAAAAACAGCAATAAAATGATTTGCAGGATTTCTAATAACCCTAAGTTAAATATATATATATATGTGATATACTTGTGTATTTTTTCCCCAACATAGACTGAAATGTCCCAAGGGAGACTCAGCAGTCATGAAAATGTTCACTGCTGATGTCCCGCAGGTCGGTGCCGCTTGTGGTCGCTGGGCTCATGCAGGTGATGTTGTTGTAGACGGTGACCATAGTGTGAGGCTCCTCCCCCTCTGCCAGGACCTCCACTTGCCGGGGCACTACATGGGGCTTGCTGAGAATGTAGTCTCTCAGGGTTTTTATGCTACAGTCGCATCTCCAGCGGTTGCCTGACAACCACAGCTGACCTAGGCCATCGGGAAACTCTGCTGCAAGGTTGGTCAGGGCGTTGTTGTTCAGGTTCAGGTAGCGCAGCCGGGGCAGAAGCTGCAGGGTGCCGTTTTGCAGAGATTCAAGTTGGTTACCAGAGATATCCAACCAAGAGAGATGCTGCAGTGGATGAAGAGCTTCCAAAGGGATCTGGCCAATCAGGTTTCCCGACAGCAGCAAGTAATCCAAGTTCTTCAGGCCATAGAAGGTATGGGAGGACAGTGTCTCCAGCTTGTTGTACCTCAGGTCTAGCTGTTGGAGGCCCTGAAGCTCCACAAAACTTTGGCGCTCCACCACAGAAATGTTGTTTTGTTGAAGGAAGAGGCGGCGAAGTCCTGTTAGTCCAATAAATGCTTGGGTAGTAACCCTAGTGAGGCAACTTTTATCCAGGTGGAGACTGTGGAGTTTGGAAAGGCCTTTGAAGACTTGGTCTGGCAGACTTTGGAAACAGCTTCCGGAAAGGTTTATCACAGCCACATGGGATAATCCTGCAAAGGCACCCATGCGAGCCTCAAACACCAGGTTGTGCTCCAGTTCCAGGACCTCCAGGTGGCCCAGGCCTTCGAATGTTCTCTCTCCAAGGATGTGGATCTTGTTGTGGCTGAGACGCAACTCTTCCAGGTACTGCAGGTCACGGAACGTTCTTGGCCGTAGATTGATAATGGAGTTGTTAGAGAGCCGTAGGACATGGAGACTGTGTAGGCCCAGAAATGTTTCGTCATGAAGTGCGTAAAGTCGATTGTTAGTGAGGTCTAACCAGCGCAGGGACTTCAAGCCAAGAAACGCTCGGGGTGCTACAGTGGAAATCAGATTTTGGGCAAGGTAGAGCTTCTGCAGCTTCGGCAGCTTAAGGAAGATGTTGGCCTTGATGACCTTTAGGAGATTCCCTGTGAGGTCCAGTTCCCTCAGTTCAGCCAGGTTGTGGAAGAGCTGTGGCTGCAGGTAGGCCAGCCGGTTCCCCGCCAGTACCAGCTCCCTGAGGCTGTGCAGATCCTGGAAAACATTCTCAGGCAGCACAACCAGAGAGTTCCAGCCGAGATTGAGCAGCCACATACTGGTGAGGCCAGCAAACGATCTTTCCTCAATGCGCAACAACTGATTATTGTGAAGGCTGAGAGAAGCTAAATTGGGGGTGTTCTGGAAGACAGGGGCGGGGATGTACCGTAGTCGGTTGCGTTCCAGGTGTAGATATGCCAATGAGCGCAAGCCTCTGAACGCCTGGGGGTCAATGGTGGACAGCTGGCCGCTTTGCAGATTCAGAAAATCCAGGTCGCTGAGATCTCTGAAGGCCCCAGAAGGCAGAGAGGTGAACAAGTTTCCATCGAGCCACAGTGAGCACGAAGACGGCGGCACGTCGGCAGGAATCTGCGTGAGATTCCGAGCACTGCAGTACACGCTGAGGTCCGAGCTGTAGTCATCATGCAGGCACGTGCAGCTCTTGGAGCATGCGATAGGCTTTTCTGTGGGGGGGCCACCTTCTAGGGCACCAGCCAGCAGCACATGGAGCGCTCCGAGTGCCCACAATGGCAGCAGTACAGATGGGGGCATCCCAGCGGGGGGGGCAGGGCAGGGCAGGCTCTGCACCAATAAGTACCAGGATCACACACGAGCAATCATCTAGCAATGAAGGGATCTGTTCATTTTCTCAGTAAACAATACTTATGAAACAGTCACACTTCTGGACACGTACTTTCTTAAGTTCAAATTTTAGGTCTTCAGCTTTTGTCTATAGTGGATAAGCAGTTAGATTTTTACATTTTAAAGTCAAGTTATTAAAATGGTAAAGGTAGGACTTTGTATCTTATCAAAATATATGTTTGCACAGAGCTTCTTAGGCTTGGCGTAACAGAAATTTGTCACAAATTAAAATATCCAGTATGCCTATTCAGGAAATTTCTACCAGCTACAAACAAGTTTCTCCCATATTACAGACTCATAGCTCACTTACTGCAAATAAAAGAATTATCATTTTATGCTTTGATTTTCTTTTATTTGAATATTATTTTGCATTTATTTTTGTATTTATATTTAGAAGTATAAAGATAAAAGAAAGAAAACTTCATCATGGAAAATTTCTCAACACTAAGTGCATTTCTAAAATGTCTCTAAAGCATTAAGGAGTAACAAGCTCTTTACGTGAAAACGTTATGCGTGTTTCTTACCTGTTGTTTGAAGTCTTTTCCACAGTCTGGAGCAGATGACCAGGCAGCGAATGACTGACTGGGATGGTGCAGGAGGAACATACCAGACTCTCCTGCCTTCTGTCCCCGTCCTGCCAAAAGGCGAAGCCCAACCCCACTGAAGTACAGTTATTACAAAGTTAACCTTTTCACTTCCTCATGTAAAGGTGGCACATTCTACGGTTTGCTGCTGCATCTGTCAGATGCATATATATATTTTTATATTGTAAGTAAAATGTAAACCATAAAATAAACCATCATTAGATCATTCAATTCTGACCAGTAACATTTACATATGAAAAAAAAACTATTACAAGAACTTCACCTAAACTCACAGTTTTTATACTTACTAGCTCTCATATATATTATTGTAACAGTTTACAACCCCCAGTGTGTAGAGAGAAACCAGTACATAGGCAATACATAAGAAATCCAGTTTAATTTCCAGACCACGTTTGCATTACACTTACTGAGCAGACTCCTTTATCTAAAGCAATGTTTGATCTTGGATCAGAGAACGGGCCTAGACCTGGGCTTAGGGGCCTCGCTCAAGGGCCCGACCGTGTCTCTGAAGCAAATTGGGGTTAGGGGTCTCGCTCAGGGGCCCGACCATGTCTCTGAAGCGATTGGGGTTAGGGGCCTCACTCAAGGGCCCGACCGTGTCTCTGAAGCACACAGAGACATAAATGGAATGGTAAGGTTAGTGCATTCTGTCTTGATCACATCGATTCACATTGAATAAGAAAACAATTTCTGTGGATGCAGGTAAAAAATATTGTAAATGGCGATAACACATTCTCCACTTCACTATCTTTCAATACTTTTGAGATTCCTGCAGTTCTGCATAGAAATTCTGACTTCATTCTGGAAGGATGTCGATACAAATTTCTCGTTGTAATGTATTGTACTTCACTACCCCTTTAATTCTGAGGTCAAGGATTATTCTCTGCAAACCAAAATATTTGCATATTTCAGTAATCCATTTTCCTGCAGTCAGTAGGGTATCCCTTGACTTTACACAGAAAAACTGAACAAAAAGTCACCTGCCTGACTTACTTTTGTCTGTATCAGTCTGCTTTTTTCATATATAACATAGTTACATTAAACTCCAAGAAAAAGTTTAGGTTTGTGAACAGGTTTCAAAACAAAAACATTGCAGCAAAAACAGTATAATTATTTTTTAGTCTGAAAAGAATGAAAAGGTTGAATTGATTTTTAAAGTACAAATTAATCCAGTAATCTTTTAGTGTATTAAATGACATGAAGTCCTTTCAGTTGTTGATTTGTTCTGTGGAGATTGCAGAGCTGAGTGAGTTCCAACATTCATCCATGTTCAGAGAGGCGAGTCTGTAATGACATTCGCTGACGTTTTGGCCACGCTTTAGGAGATTTTGTTGGACTTTGAAACATTGTTCTGGATAAAGAAACTAAATAATTCCATGTGTTTCAAAATCAGGTGGAACAGGATCAGCTATTGTGATGCATTACATATAGGTTATATGCACAGTACATGTACGCACATTCATTTATCAATATTTGCTCACAAACAACATTTGTTTCTTTTAAATCTTGAGATATTTCATTCTTTTCAAACATTAACCAGTGAGAATACTTGCCACAGAGTCCAAAGACCTTCAGAAACTCTGAACATTGACACTCAGCAGAATAGTGCTACTTCATGCATCTGTGGGGACATTGTCTCTTCACCTGCCCCTTCTTGTTCTCCATGAGACACACAGACAATTAAGCAGGCATCATAGTGCAGGATCAGCCAGCAGGGGGCGGCCTGGAGCAGCTCCGCCGACTCCCAAGCCACTGAGCCACACACCGCTTTCAGCATGCAATCTCAGCATGTAAATCTGTATATAAAAATAATAGAATATGTTCAAGAATAAACGTTTCCTACTAAGTTTCATTCATTCATTCATTCCGTTATTTTCTATACCCACTTGTCCTGTGCAGGTCCGTGGGAGTCCAGGGTATACGCAAAGTGAATCATGACATAAGTACGCTTGCTGCCTATATTTCTGACACAAATACAATATCACTTGCTGAAAATGGAGACTATTAGGCCTTTATACTCCATTTCTGCCACAATAATAAGCACACAAATCCCATTTGCTGAAAAAAGTGGAATTTCATGAATGTATTTAAACAGACCTATAAAGTTTACATAGGGAAAAACATTCAGTCCATTTTAATTGGTACATCTTGCACATAGACTAAGCATTATATCTAACAACAATAATAATATATTATATATATAATATATATATATATATATATATTTTAGTCAGGAATTGAACTAACTGTTACTCAAGTACACATTTGTGATATAAAGGTTAAATTGTGTGGTAAATACTTACGTAACAGTGCTGTTGCTAATTTTATGCGGTCACTATGATGAGTATCTATCGAGAGGGTCTGAGGAGGGAGAAACCATTAACCACGGTCGGCCAGGACGAGTATCTACCGAGAGGGTCTGAGGAGGGAGAAACCATTAACCACGGTCGGCCAGGACGAGTAGCTACCGAGAGGGTCTGAGGAGGGAGAAACCATTAACCACGGTCGGCCACGGTGAGCAGCTACCGAGAGGGTCTGAGGAGGGAGAAACTACTAACTGCCATAAGAGTGTTGGGCAGCTAAGGCTCATCAATGCAGGATGTGAAAGAAGGTATCCTGTGTGGTACAAATCAACAAAGTGGCTCCTATGAGTCTGATGTTTTACTACACAGCTCCATATGCAGCACAACCCAATGCAGTCTGTGTCATGACATGTTTCTCCCGTAACCAGCACTAAAATTATCTGTGGTTTCTGCCCTTTCGTTCAAGACCATACATCTGGAGGTCTCAGGTCTGTGATGGAGGAAATCGTGGAGTGTCTGGGGATGGAGAGAAGGAAGAGAAAGAGAGGCTCTGAGAATATGGTCTTTTTGGAGAACAATCATACATGCATATAATATACTATCTACGAATGTAGGATCAGAATGACTCATGAGAAACAAATTGGAATCAAACACATTCAACATAAACAGAGGATTTTCAAAATGTATCTCAAAATGTATTAATTCACAGCACATAAAAAGCACATTAGAATTGTCAACAATGGATTCTTCAGAGAGGATTACCTACCCCAGGTTTTTCATTCATATTTAATAACTTGTGTTTCTGACCTTCTATGGTTGACCTCGGGGTCTTGCTCTTTTTTATATCCTTTTCATGTCTTTTGCCAAAATTTCTGTTTTTCCAGCTGTGTACTGGGATCTTGAACAAGTTTTAACAAGACACACTACACAGCGAAACACAAGAAATCATCAGGCAGAAAAGCCCATCTCCTGAAAACAGCTTGAAAAACGTGTCAGGATGAAAACATGTTCCACTAGGATAGTCGGTATTGCAAGTGCTGTCTTGCAGTTGGCAGAGGCCCAGATCACAACTATTAAAGATGCTTCCAGGACATTTTATCTGTGCTGCAGAGGAAAGATCACTAATGGCCATAGTGTAATGGAAGATGCATTGAAAGAAATGGTTTTATGCTAGCAGAACTTGGTGTAGAGATTAAACACAAGCTCAAAAAATGCTGCTTACTTTCGCTCTACATGTTAAGTCTCACTCTAGACATTTCTCATGTGTGGTTCCTTGATGGTGGATGGAGTTATGAACCACATCCGGTCATCAGATTCGCTCTTAACCTTCAAGAAACACCTCAAAACCCATCAGTCCTGGGAATATTTCTGCTGTCTGTACACCCCTCTTGGGAAGTTAAGCTCCTTAACCATTTTGTAAAGAGCTGACGTTCTACTTATCACATACATACATACATCACACATTCCATCTGGCTTCCATCCTTTGCAATTGGCAACTCCTGCAGACATTAGTAACTGTTGCTATGTAAATAAATGTGGCTGGATGTGTTTTGGGGCTGGCCAGGGTGAAAGCTTGCAGGATGTGGGAAGACAAAATGACTCAAAGAGGTCAGCAAGTCGCTGCCTGCAAGATTCTTCTTGTCTGCTGTGAGTTGGTAGTTCCTGCTTATTATTTTAATATCCACCCATTTTCTGTGCCCACTTGTCCCACGCATGGTCACGGGGGTCCTGAGCCTATGGACACGAAGCAGGGATACAACCCTGGATGGGGCACCAGTCCATCGCAGGTCACACTTAACAAAATGTGATTACTGCAAAAGCGGTTCTCAGCTTACGTGTAGATTCGACCCTTAAGCAATGCACTGCCTGGAAATAATGCAGCTTATGCATACTGAGCTTCCAGTAAAATGTATCTGCTGATCCACTGCATGCAGAAAAGCTGGAAAAACAGCAAAACAGGACGTTCAGCAGCGATTTCATCCCTTGCAGGAAACTGGAGATCAAAGCTTACTTAGTATTTGTGGCAAAAGATTTTTCATTCAGTACTTAACCATTGGTCCTGTCATTGCTGGAGGAAGATTAATGCCTTTGGACTGTTAGATGATCGGTACACTTCAAATAAAATGGATTTTATGGACGACGGGAATATCTTGCAGGGAAATCCAAGCCTTTTTATAAGACCTGGCACCCTGATTTTGTGTGTTACATTTATCCCTGTATTTGTGAGGTAACATGAGAATGTCTTTGATCTGTCTGGGGGGTGGGTCTGATTTATGGGACTTCTCCTCCTTTTGTGGGCTGTGTGACTCTTCTTGCAGTCTTGACACCTGTGTGTGGGGTGGCAACCGAAACTGGCAAAAAGTCACAACTTTTTCCACCTTAAATGGAAAATTTATTTTGTTTTAGCTGTCACTTTTTACACTTGTGTCCTTCCTGTTACCCTTAGCGAGTCTGAATATTCTCCTCAAACGTTAACCAAATGTCTGCAGCCACAAAACAGCCTGTGACTGGGTGTATTTTGTTCATTGCACCATATATTTGAGCTTGGAAGGTTGTGGGTTCAGATCCCCGCAGAGTAATCATTAATACTGTTGGACTATCGACGAGGCCCTTAACCAAAACTTCAGGGTGCTGATCCTTCTTTCTGACCCCCTAAAAAAACTTTGCACAAAATTGCTTTGGACAAAAGCATCTGCTAATTATGTAAAACTTTTCTTGCAGGAATA